AAAAAAAAAAAAAAAAAAAAAAAAAAAAAAAAAAAAAAAAAAGGTTCTGACTGTTACTGGTAACAATATTATGTCAATACTGGTATTGACATAATAGAGTGCTTTGGTGCTGTTGAGCAGGAGCCAGGTAAATAACGCTGTTTGCTGCTGCTACATCTACGTTTCTGGTAATGGTGTTGGTGTTGATATTTTACTTACATTTTTTAAGGAGAGGCATAAAACAATTTGCTCATGTTTCAGTCTGTAGGAAGCAGAACAATTTATGGCTTGGTCAAGAAATGCTAGTACCCTTACATTTATGTCTTTACGTCACCTAGATCGTTCTTGCTCTGATTTGTAATCCCAGGGTCTCCTTGCTCTGCAGTCTTTACTCTGTTGAGTCCCTGCTTCTTTAACTTCCCACTTGGCTTTTGTGATGCCTCTCTTCCTTTTCTATATCTCGAACCATTCTTCTCAAACTCTTTGGTAAAATCTTATTAATGTTGACTCTATAATTATGTGTTTTCTGTGGTTCTGCTTTAGACCATAGTTCAGCATTCAGACTATGGGAATGGCTAAATACCATGTCTATGCTATTGGGATTCCCACTGTAATTGTGCTTCTCATCTCCCTCTGATCTTGCAGATGTGTTTATTTAAACTTTCAGATAGGAAATCTACAGCCTCCACAGATGCCTTTGTTCCCTCACTTGCTTCACCAGTGTGCTTGCTGTTGTTTATAGGTGACACATGACTGCTAGTCAGTTAAACTACAGGGCAGAGCTGGGGGTGGAGAAGGGAGACTGTAACCAAATCCACTTCATGAGGTGGTCAGGAAGGCAGTGGTATCCAGAACACAAGTGGAAAAGAGGATAGTTTTAATAGAGGTGAGTCTAGAGAGGGTGTAGCTTTCATTAAGGCAAGATAACATCCATCTGGGAAGATTGATGATAGCCTGTGACCAGTGACTCACAATACAAGTAACTCCATCCTGGGGTGTGAAATTCTATCTTGCTTACCTTTGTTTCTCATCAGTTTGAAAATATAAAGTGTCAAAAGAAAAAATAAAACACAGTGCTATTACACCAGAATTGTTTGAAATGCATAAAAAAAGGACTTGCCTTTTGGTTTTTGTGAGAGAGAATTTATCATCCCATAATGCCATTGAACTTCAGTAGGAAGGCTGACATTAAACTCAGAGAAGCCTTCCAAACAGTGAGATTGCAAGAACAACCCATTTGTTTGTCTCTCATTAACAGGTTGCCTTCTGTGACTTGTGAATTTTTGTATTTGTACCTGATATTTCTACTGTGCTTATAAAACCACCTTATTTTTTGTTGCTTTTTTAAGTTACCACAAACTTAGTGATATAAACCAATTTGTTACCTGGCTATTTTTGTAGGTCAGAGCTTTTGACACTGTTCTTGTTGACTGATACCAAGGAGTCCATAAGACTTTTTGGAGATTAGGAGAACCTAGTTCCTTATCACTTCCAGATTCCAGAAGCTTGCAGACCCTTTCTCCATCTGCAGAGAGAGAGACAACAACAAAGTTACATTCCTCCTTTTGTAACCCTCTTTCTGTCACTCTGTTTTTAAGGATTGTTTTTGATGGCATCAGGCCCACTTCCCTTTGTCACATAATCTATATATTACAGGATCTCGCTGGGGATTAGAACATGAGTATTTTTGGGGGAGGGCATTCTGCCTACTTGAATAAATGTTGACACGGTAGTATATGAAACATAGATATCTTATAGTCAAGAAGTATGGAGAGAATGTTTCTTGAATGTTCATGTACTTATTCCTTATCCCCAACACACCTATTTAGTGACAGGTCAATCTTACGAGAATATGGTAACTGAGATCATGTCAATGGGCTATGAACGAGAGCAAGTAATTGCAGCCCTGAGAGCCAGTTTCAACAACCCTGACAGAGCTGTGGAATATCTTCTAATGGTGAGAAGTGTATTTTACTTTTCATTCTCCTTAATTTCAAACTCTTTCAAGAAATTTTGGTTTTAAAAGATGAGTTAACAGTTCAGTGTTGACTACTATATGCTAGATAGTTTGCGCCCCCCAGGGTTAACATTTTGTGTTGATAAACTGTAACCTTTTGGAAAAGATTCTGAAATGATTTTAATTAGAAAATGCCATGATGGGCCGGGCGTTGGTCGAGACCAGCCTGGTCTCCAGAGGAGTGCCAGGATAGGCACCAAAGCTACACAGAGAAACCCTGTCTCGAAAAACCAAAAAAAAAAAAAAAAGAAAGAAAAGAAAAGAAAATGCCATGACGGTGAGTTACAAAGTGGTTCTTTAGAATAGTGGCTTACACACAGTGAAGCTCTGGAGCCCTAGGGTGTCTTTCTAATGGAATAGTCTGACTTTATAGTGGATTTTAGTTGCTCATATAATCTATTAGGAATTATTTAGAGCAAAATTTTAGTTGTCCTCTGTGAGGAAGCAGCATTAGCATTTTGTTTGAGAATTTGATGGAAGGCTTAGCCTTCAGGGACCTCCGCATCACAAGCAGACGCTTTCAGGGCCTGCAGTGTATGTGCACCATTAGTCACTGCTCACTGCCTGTCTTTCCTAAAGCGAGTCTGCCTCGTGTTTAGTAGGAAATGGACTTATCACCATCTCTTAAAGTCTGAGAATTTGGTGGATTTCTAAATAGGTATAACTGCCATTTGTCTAAATGTTGTACATCAAAATAGAAACTCTGAGGGCACTTTTAAACTGTAATAATTTCTTCTTTTTTTTTTTTTTTTTTTTTTTTTCGAGACAGGGTTTCTCTGTGTAGCTTTTGGAGCCTATCCTGACACTCAAGACCAGGCTGGCCTCGAACTCACCAAGATCCATCTGCTTCTGCCTCCCGAGTGCTGGGAGTGCGCCACCAATGCCAGGCTAAACTGTAATAATTTCAAGAGAAATTATTGAAACATACAAAAAGCATCATTTGGAATTTAAATGATTGAAATATATTTCATGCCCATTTTGTTAATTTTGAAAGATTTTCTGTGTGGCACTTTCTAGATGATATTTGCTCAGAAACATGAGTCAGTAGATGAGACTTTCTTGCTTGGCCAGCAGTATTCACTCATTCAACTCCACACCCTACCACAAAGAGTCATTCAGAACTGTTGTCCTCTTATCCCAAATGCTCCTAATGTTATAAATACAGCTCTTTGTGTCACTGACTGATGATTTATGAAAGTCCCTGCAGTCAAAAGCCATTTGGAACCCCATGATGAGTGAATATCTTAGTTAAATTTGTAGGGTTTAATTAGACATGGATGTGGTTGTTATTGCACAGTACATCTATCACCGTGGAAAGACCTGTTGAACAGTACTGCCTTACACTACATACAGCATTGAGTTCTACATGTATCTCACACATAGACAGTGATGTTCTGTAAGCCACAACTGTTTTTGCTGTGTATAATATTTAGCCTGTGTGTTTTTGAGTTGTCTTAAAGCTTGAAAATTGTGTTGCAGGGAATCCCTGGAGATAGAGAAAGTCAGGCTGTGGTTGATCCTCCTCCCCAGGCAGTGAGTACTGGAACTCCTCAGTCTCCAGCAGTGGCAGCAGCTGCAGCCACCACAACAGCAACAACAACAAGTAGTGCTGGAGGTAAAGTTACTATTTCTGATGGTGAATCTAAATTCGTTTAATTTGAAGTACTCGAGTGGTAACATTCATTCCCAGAGCGTTTGGATAAGTCTTGCGTTGTGTCTTCCCTCATAGTAGTATGGTAGTGCACATCAGTGTTACTGTGTTGTCAGCTTACTCCACTAGCTGATACTAAGAAAAAATGTTTCATAGTTTGAACTCAGTATTCATTTTGAATGGACAGCTCACTTTTCTAAGAATGCATAATTTTAGGCAGTGTGTGTGGTGCAAGCCTTTAATCCTAGCACCAGGAGGCAGGCAGATCTCTGAGTTTGAGGGAACTTAGTCTACACAGTAGAGTTCCTGGAGAACTGGGGTACATAGAGATTCCCTGTCTCAAAAGGAAAAGGGAAGAGATAGTACAATTTTAAAGCCACCAAAACCTTAGTAGATAGACTGCTAATTTTGAAAAGGCTGTGTTTTGATAATTTCTTGCTCTCATTTTGGCAGTCAGTTGGGGGGTCTGTGTTTTATAGTGGAAAGAGGAGGCACAGCTCTAGCTCAGATTTTAGTATTTCCAACCATCACCTACTAGGTAGCTTAATCTCTAAGTCTCACTTTAATATTACACATAATGCAGAAATAAATACTCATGTAACACATACATACATAAATACATACACACACATGCATGTATGTATGCTTCTTGTGAGCAACTACAATAACATAACCTTTTGTTTTGAAGTAGAACACCAGTTTCTTATGTTTTCTGTAATAGTTCACAGGGCATTGTGGATAAGTTTATCTCTCAGTGTTCTGCCTTTGCTACCAGTATAACTTCTACAGAGTAAAGTAGCACATTGGGGTTTATAGAGTTTGTGACTGTGCCAGAGAACAGAAGTGTTTTCTGTCTGAATGTGTGGCTTCACTACCTCTTTGTTATATGTATTTACCATTTTTTGCTTTAAAATGTTTGCATCTATTTCAGGCCACCCCCTTGAATTTTTACGGAATCAGCCTCAGTTTCAACAGATGCGACAAATTATCCAGCAGAATCCTTCCCTGCTTCCAGCTTTGCTACAGCAGATAGGTCGGGAGAATCCTCAGTTGCTGCAGGTAATGATCCATGTTAACTTGGAAAAGGAGTTGGAATGTTGTTGTACTATGGTTAAACCCAGAGCCTATGTTTTAGATAGGCACTGAAGAACAAGTTGGAATATAGGTTGAATCAAGTTTAATTTGCTCAACTAAATTTGGGAAATGTTTTTATTTCTTCTTTCAGGTTCCTGAGACACAATAACATATTAGAGAAGCTGGCAGGGTGTTTAGCTTTTGTAAATCACTTTTCATAGGCTTACTACTAGTGAGATATACTACCTTTTAGAAAATCTACCTATGGACATATTTCATGCTCAGACCAGGAAGTATTTCAGTTTTGTATACAGAATGGTCTGCTAGTGTGGAAAATAAATTATACATAAACAGGGGCCCTCAGTAGGATTTTTGTTTTGTTTTGTTTTGAGTGGAGTTCTCTTTTCCTGGGGTGTGGGTCAAGACAGGGTTTCTCTGTGGCTTTGGAGGGTGTCCTGGAACTGGCTCTTGTAGACCAGGCTTGGTCTCGAACTCACAGAGATCCTTCTGCCTCTGCCTCCCAAGTGCTGGGATTTAAGCTGTGGGCCACCACCACCTGGCTGGAGTTTTTCTTTTTCTTTTTTTCTTTTTTCTTTTAAGATTTATTTATTGTGTATAATGTTCTGAATGCATATATGCCTGCAGGCCAGAAAAGGGTACCAGATCTCATTACAGATGGTTGTGAGCCACCATGTGGGTGCTGGGTATTGAACTTCAGGACCATCTCTAAGAGCAGCCAGTGCCTTAACCTCTGAGCCTCCTGTGAGTGGAGTAATTTTTTAAGTTTGCATTCTCTCCATTTACCTCTCTGAACGATTGTGCTTCATTAATAATCATCTAAGAAAACACTTTCCTTTCCTCACCTCCCCCCCTTTCTGGCTTCTTTTAGATAGGACTGGCCCAAAACTCAAAATTGTCAAGCCTCAGACTCACAGTGATCCTTCTGCCTCAGCCTCCCAAGTGTTGGAATTAAAGTGTGAATGCTATGGCTGCTTAGGTTTTTCTTATTTTTACTTAGGATTCTTTCTTCCTGGAAACATTTATGAACTCTGTGTTTTTTCTTTCTTTTGTAAATCACTACAGCAAATTAGCCAACACCAGGAACATTTTATTCAGATGCTAAATGAACCAGTTCAGGAAGCAGGTGGTCAAGGTGGAGGAGGAGGAGGTGGAGGTGGAGGAGGCGGTGGCGGAAGTGGTGGTGGAGGAATTGCAGAAGCTGGAAGTGGGCACATGAACTACATTCAAGTAACACCTCAGGAAAAAGAAGCTATAGAACGGGTGAGTTTAATTAAGTCAAAGTAGATTTGAGTCCCTTGGTCATCCTAGCACTTGGGCTAGTGGCTCCTGCTGGGACACCACTGCAGCTCTAATTTTTACCAGAAACTGGTACCTATTTCCTTACCCCAGGGACTGCAGTAAACACTCTTAGGCCATTCCGCCTCCCCTTGCTTTCTGTCCTTTGTGCCGTTCCATCCCCCAGCAAAGGGTCTTCTTGCATAAATTAGTAATAGACTAAAGTTTTCGTTGGTGTAAAACACAAAAATAGTAGTCTGATACCCAATTAAATAAAATAATTTTTTATTAAATTTTACTTCACTACTGACCCTAAACATCAGGCACTAGCTATCTTGGCTATCTTTCTGTCCTCAACAAGTAGACCAGTGCAGGTTTGGGCAATGCAATAATCTAGATTTTGTGGTGCTGTGATCAGTAACTCTCAGTCTCTCATTTTTACATTTGTACATGGGAAAGTACCATATTTGGTACATTACTGCTTAAACCAATTCACTAATTCTATCATACATACATACATACATACATACATACATACATACATACATACAGTTTGGCCAATGGTTCAGGCTTCTTATTGGCTAAGACTTTTAAATATTTTATTTATTATGTATATAAAATTCTGCTTCCATGTATATCTGCACACATGTGGTTGCTGGGAATTCAACTCAGGACCTCTGGAAGAGCAGTCAGTGCTCTTAACCTCTGAGCCATGTCTCCAGCACCAATAGTTTTTGGTGGTTTTTTGAGACAGGGTTTCTCTGGCTTTGGAGGCTGTCCTGGAACTAGTTCTTGTAGACCAGGCTGGTTTCGAACTCACAGAGATCTACCTGCCTCTGCCTCCCAAGTGCTGGGATTAAAGGTGTGTGGCAAGACTTTTTATTATTATTATTAACTAATAATTATTATTAACTGTAGGGAGCCTTAACTCATTTCTACTAATCTGTCTTGGCTTACCCGTTGCTCTTGTGTATAGGTCTGTGATCTATTCTTTGTTCTCTCATTGTATGAGTGAGAATCTGTCCTTGCATGTGTATCCCAACACCATTTGTTGAAAACACTTTGAAGTTATGGGTTCCTATAAAAAGTCAGTGGTCCATGGATGTTTTGGGGTTACTTTTTGACTCAGTTTTAATCCTTTGATCCATGTTTATCCCTATGCTGGTACCTCACTCCTTACTGCCTTATTGTAGATTTCTAAGATGTGTAAGATCAGAAGGTGTTGAGTGCTCCAATTTTGTTTCTAAAATTGTTGTGACTATTCTGGATACTTCAACCTGTGTAAATCTCAGGATCAGCTTGTCTGGTCTCTGGTCTCTTTTAAAAATAGTAGAGCTTAGAGCCTTATGCTCACCTGGGAGGAGCATTTGAGGAATGTCCCATATCTTTTTTTTCTTTTTGATTTTTGGGTTTTGTCACTGAGGTAGTCTTGCTATATAATAGCCCTGCTGGCTTTCAACTTGCTATGTAGATGAAGATGACCTTGAAGTCACGATTCTTCTGCCTCCCATTTTGCAAGTGCTGGGATTGTAGCATATACCATGGAGCCACTGAGACCCTTGTTAACAATCTAGAGCCTGATAGGCAGGATAGGGCAGCATTGTTATCCCAGCTCCTGGGAAGTACAGCTGGAGGATTCCAGGTCTTGAGATTAGCCTAGACTTTGTAGTAAAATCATCTCAAAAAACAACTTAATTCCTAAGACAGTTAAAAATGGTGGTGTTCTATGGCTGTAGTGAATAAAAATGTTATACTACTTTGGAGTTTATTCCTAAGAACTATTATTCTTTTTGATGCTGTTGGGACTTACTCTTTTTATTTTCAAATTTTGCATTACTAGTTACATAGAAGAATAGTTTGGTTTTGTATGTTGATTTTATAATCCCAATCTTGCTGAATTCATTTATTTGTTCATTTCCATGGAGTTTTGGGTTAAGGAAGTCAGACCCCTTTAGTGTCAGGTTTTGAAATAACAAGTGGTACATTTGTTTATCAAATGGTTATCTTTTATTCTTAGTACTTTATGGTGTATATTGAAATCCCACTGACCATTAGTTGATGTTTGATTGAATCCCCTGGGGTTTAGTTGAGGGTTTTTGTGCCTATATTCATAATATCTTCTAGCTACTTTGTTGTTTCCTGGTGATGGGTGTCTTGTTCTAGTACTGGGAAATAGTGACCCCACAGAATAAGTAAAGGGTGTTTTTTGGAAGAGTTTAAGAATTGTTCTTGACTATTTAAAGAGCCGATAATTTATCAGTCACCATTTTATTTTGCTTAGGGGAATTTCAATGCTTACTATTTGATTTCATGTAGTTTTCTTTTGTCAAAAAGGGTAGTAGTTATGTTTGCTGAATTTTATTCTTTACAGTAGCAATTTGAATCTTCCCTTTTCTTTTTTTCCTGACCATTTTGAAAGTTTTTCAGTTACTGATCTTTTGTTTTTTGTTGTTGTTGTTTTTTGGGGTTTTCTTGTTTTTGTTTTTTTTTTTTCCTCCATTGAAAATAGATTCTTCACCAGGCAGTGGTGGTGCACACCTTTAATCCTAGCATTCAGGAGGCAGGCGGATCTCTATGTTGAGGCCAGCCTGGTCTACTGAGTGAGTTTCAGGACAGCCTCCAAAGCCACAGAGAAACCCTATCTCAAAAAAATAAAATAAAATAAAAATAAAAAATAAAAAAATAAAAAGAAAGAAAAGAAAATAGATTCTTTGCTCTTGTAATACATCTAGCCCAAAGTCCCCCTCCCCACTCCTCCCAGGTCCCTTCATTCAGTTTTTTTTTTTTTTTTTAAGTTACTGTTTTGTTGTTGTTTTGAATATTAAGTCTCTTGTATTTCTCTCGTCTTTATTATTTCCCTCCTGGTTACCCGTGGTTAGTGGGGTTTTTTCTTTTGTTTTTATATAAAGCACATCTCTTTATTCACATTTTTCTACTAGTGAAGTAGCAGAACATCAGATTTTTTCTATATATCCAGGCTATATAGAAATTAATTTCAGTCAGTTAAAAACCAGCAATTTCTCTTTTCCATAACATATCTGCTAAAAATATATCACAGGTTATCTTGTGAAGCCTTTGAGTAGATCAGACAATCATTAAATCATGGTCAAAGGTGCTCATAAGGACAGGGGCACTTCCTTCCCCCCCCCCCCAAATTCCTGTTCTCCAGCTCACATTTTTATAGGCTCAGGAAGGTTCCACCAGGCCCAGACCCACCCCCCACCACCCCCCAACCATCATTATGCTCATTACCTACAGGGAAAATTATGGTTGGCTGGAACTGTTAAAGGAAGGCAGAAAGAGCTGAGGAACAGTTCCCCAGCGAGGCCACCTGCTAGGGCTGAAGCTTAGTGGGGTTCCATGAAAGTCCCAAGTTCTCTAACTGAAATTATTGAAGTAAAAGTAACAGTTCTCCCACCCCTCTTCCTTCAAAAATACCCTTTGGGTTAGTTTTACTCTCATAATTTGTTAAGGTTTAGATCATTAAAGGACACACATACACATACAGGAGCAAACACACGCACTCTTAGTGGGTGGTGCTATGGCTTGAACCCAGGGCCTCATTCATCCTAGGGTACTGAATCATATCCCTGGCAAGGTGTCTGTCTTAATACAAATTGTATACAGCTCTAGTCCTAAGCTACGCTGTAAGCACCACCCATCACAACCACAGAAATTAGTTTATATAACCTCAGTTTTTTAAACTTACAAAGTGTTGTTTTCGGGCTATTCTTACTGAAGCACATTCTGTCCATATTTGAGACTGTAATATGCTCTTATTGAACATTCTCCTACTGTCATGCTTGTTGATATATAATGCTAGTTAATTCCTCTGACTTGGTCCTCTCTCTGATTGTATCCTATTACTGGTAGTAGTAACAGTGAAGTCTCTAGGTACTGATTTTTCTCTCCAATGTTATTTTGTTTTGTTTTGTTTTGTGTATTTTTGGCCTCTTGTTACATGTTTATTACCGCTTTCATAAAAAGCCCCTCATTTCTGGTAACAGTTTTGTTTATTAACAGTAGCTACTCTAGTTGTCTCTTGGTTATTGTTTGTATGATGTCTCTTTCTAGCCTTACATTTTTAACATCTTTGCTTCTTTGAGTCTAGGTTTATGTCTCATTGAAGTGTATCTTGATTTATTACTTCAACTGCCCTAGTTTTAGTTTGTATCCAACTTAGGTAATAAGTTCTTTTTTGTTTTAGTTTTTTCTACTTTGATTTATAAATTCTTATGAAATTTTTTTTTGTATGTGCTTTTTTTTGTCAGTTCTTGAGACAGTTAAGGAAGGTATTAATTTGAGAAGTAGTAATTATATATAGGAAATTAATAAGAGTAAACTGTTGTTTGGCTTGAGAGTTTAAAAGCAATTAGTATTGATTATCATGTAATTTTATTAAAAGTAGCTAGTATCAGTGTTTCAAATATGCTGTAAATTTAAGTACATACAAATACAGAGCACTGGTTCTCACTGCTAGATATATCATGCAGTGGTACTGTAATTGGTCACCCACTTTTCTAGTATAAAGTGTTTAAAGATACAAGCTATGTTAAGAAATTACACATTCACTTTTATAAAAAGTTGGTGTGCAAGTTAAGGTCTTTCCATGTGCTTTCCCCCTTTCCCAGTCATTGCCTTACTAGATTCTTTTGATGCCTAGATTTCTACATGCTCATTTACTTTTAAGCAGGACAGTTACCTACTGCCTTTTAGTGCTGGTACCAGAATTTATTTCATAAACAGGACCTGTTAACTTAATCTCCTTAACTTGAAACCAAATTTAAAAACAAAATAATCTACTAGGTGTTGTCAAATGCTCTCTATACCCTCTCAATGTTGACCGATGAATCCAGATTCAAATGGGGCTGATTGTGTGAAAATTTCAGGAGCCTTTTCTGTGCTGTTTGTTTTCGATGTCCAGTGGCAATACTGCAATCCTATAAAGCAAACTAAATGAACCATAATTGATGAGTTGAGTTTAACTGTTTCCTTTTCTTCCAGTTAAAAGCATTAGGATTTCCTGAAGGACTTGTGATTCAAGCATATTTTGCTTGTGAGAAGAATGAGAATTTGGCTGCCAACTTTCTTCTACAGCAGAACTTTGATGAAGATTGAAGGGACTCTTTTGTATCTCACACTCACACCAGTGCATTACACTAACTTGGTTCACTGGATTGTCTGGGGTGACTTGGGCTCAT